CTGTGGTCCCAGCTACTTGGGAGGCTGAGGCAGGAGACTCACTTGAGCCCAGGAGTTGGAGGTTGCTGTGAGCTGTGATGTCACGGCACTCTACCCAGGGGGACAGCTTGAGGCTCTGTCTCCAAAAATATATAAGATCCAAGATTCACAAAAAGAGGAACAAGATGTAGCCAGGAAGATACAGGCTGAGTTATTTATGTATTTAGTTATTTTTGCAGTTTTTGGCTGGGGCTGGGTTTGAACCTGCCACCTCCAGCATATGGGGCCAGTGCCCTACTCCTTTGAGCCACAGGTGCCCCCCCAGGCTGAGTTAATCAAGAGGAAATGGAAGGAGAACCTCTCTTGCTCCCAAGTGGGCCAACTGCTTTACCTGCTTCTGGGAGTTCTTCCCCTGCCTCTGGGTTCTGTGCTGTTCTGAGGCTTTCCCCAGGCTTTGCAGCAACATCATGCTGGAGGCTGTCATGGAAGCTTCCTGAATCCTGGGGACAGAGGATCTGGTTACCAATGCCTATGCTCCCAAAATCCCTCTGGAAGGTACCACCTCTGCCCAGACAACCTCAAAGAAATAGGTGGGGCCTCAGGAAAGAGACATGACGGAGAGTGTGATAGGGCCCAGTCAGTAACCCAGGCCCACGCTAAGGAAAGGGAGCTGAAATGCCAAACACCAAAAGAGTAGGTAATTTAAGAAAACAAAACATAAATCTTTTTTTGGCTGATTTTCTAATTCTGTCGGTATATAATGTTTCAGGGAATCTATATAACTAAAGCAGAAAACAAATAAGCCATTCAGAAATATACTGAGGAGTAAGCCTGGGATTAAAAATTAGCTGTTAACAATCCCTAAATTAGCTAATATATGAGCACGTAATTAAAATTAGTAAATAAACCATTGATTATGGTTAGCCCTAGGGAATAAATGTGAGGAAGGGTTTCATTTTTTGCTTATTTTATGTCATTTCAATTTATATAAATGAGCATGGATAATTTGAAATTTAAAAGAAAAACAAATCATATTTTTAGGACATGAGGTGATTTTGAGAGAATGTGGAAAGGTTAAGAGAAAGATGAAGGAAATAGAAGTGGAAAGTTGGAGCTAGAGCTCTAAGGTAACCAGAAGTCAAGTCTAATGCACTCCTAGGGATGAAACAGCAGCAGGGGAGGGGACAGGGCTTGCCTGAGGTCACAGTACAAATTATCAGCAGAACTGGGTTGAAACCCAGGTTTCTGGACCCCAGGCCAGGATCCAAGGAAGGGTGAGGGTGGACAAGTCAAGCCCAGACTCTGCAATGCCCCTCAAGTAGAGCTGTTTGGGTTTATCCTTATCTCCCAAAAGATACCAAATGCTGGCCTCTGTTCCAAAAGGGGGTGCCCCCACCAGTGTTCTGTGTGCAGGCTCCCCCTCGCCTAACTCTGTTAGTTCTCAAGTGACTCCAATCCTCTCAGATGTTCAAGCCTGCCATCAGACACTCGAGGATCACCAAGAAGCCAGCTGTTCCTCTAGGTACTATTACTGAGCCGTCTGGCAAGCGGCTGGCCCAGCGACAGGAGATAGTCCTGTCCCCAAAGGCACCTCTCAGCTCAGGGCACCAGCCCCTTTCACGCCTCTGCTCCTCAGAGTAGAGGAGAGGAAGGAATCAGAAGATGCAGGCAGGCAGGGCACAATGGCTCACACCTATAATCCTAGCACTCTGGGAGGCCGAGACAGGTGGATTGCCTGAGCT